GGAGGAGGAGGCGGAGGACGAGGGGGAGGAAGAGGAGGAATATGAGGAACGAGGACCAGTCGAAACAAACGACGCACCAACGATGTCACAATAAACCTTCTCCCCGAGTTTCGCCACAGTATTTTGTTCACGAGGCCTACGCCATTCCGCCGACCCCCAGGAGAGGGATGACGTCAACAGGTGAGGCCTTTTGGGGCCTCTTGGGAACCCTCTGGGGGTTTCTTGGGAGTTTCTTGGGCGTTTTGGGAGTTTTTTGGGAGTTTCTTGGGCGTTTTAGGAGTTTCTGGGGCGTTTTTTGAGAGTTTTTTGGGAGTTTTCGGGGCCTCTTGGGGCCTTTTGGGAGTTTCCTGGGCGCCTGCTGGCGGTCTCGGGGACCCTCCAGGGTCGGAGGGCTCGAAGTGTCAGTTCGAGTTGCTCCTCTTGGGGCTCGAAGACCCCCCCGGGCCCTCCCCGCCCACCCCAAGTTTTTTTCCATTGCGGGAAGGCAGCCGTCGGAGAGTTCTCAATCGTGCTACAACAGAAGTTCTAGGACATCATCGCCGCGAATCAGCGTGATTGCTGCGTACTGACAGTCTTTAATCGTGTCAGAGCGCCATTCCTAGGCCCTCAACGCTGAGAATCAACGTGAGTGCTGCGCCCTGACAATCCGAAATCGTGCCCGAACACCTTTCTTGGTACTTCAACCATACGAGCCCTTGACATGGCGACGAGGACGAAGAGGAAGCGAAACATAATGACGATGAGGGCAAGGGCGAGGGCGAGGACGAGGACGAGGAGGAATAGGAATATGATGATGATGATGATGATGATGATGATGATGATGATGATGATGATGATGATGATGATGATGATGATGATGAGGAGGAGGAGGAGGAGGAGGAGGAGGAGGAGGAGGAGGAGAGGACAGCAAGGACGATGACAACGCCTTCAACATCGCCTGTTGTAGCCTTCTTGGGAGTCTTTGTGGGGATCTTGGGGTCCTCTTGGGGCTCTGTTGGGGGTCGTATGGCCATTTTTGGGCCTTCTGGGAGCCCTCTTTGGGGGTCCCGTGGGAGCCCTGTGGGGCTTCTTGTGGCCATCTTGGAGGCCATCGATCAAAAGGGGGGTCCCAATCCCTCCTCCCACCCCCCTCCCCCCCCTCCCTCCTTCCCTCCCCCCCCCCGCCCCCTCACCCTCCCCCCCCCCCGCCCGCCGCCCCCCCCCCCCCGCTCCTCCCATCCCCCCCCATCCCCCCCCTGTGGCCATCAGAATCGCCTCTTGGGGCGCTCACGGGGCGCTCATGGGCCGATGTTGGGCGCTCTTGGGCCCCATCCTGGGCCTCTCCGGGGACATCTTGGCACATCCTTGAGGCATCACCAGCGCATCGGAGGCGAACAGGCGAGACTACACAAAGCATTGCTGTCCTTTAGGGCTTTGAAGGATGTTGGCCTCTTGGGGGGCGGGGGTCCTGTTTTGAGCTCCGAGAGCACTTGGAACCGTCTTGTGGTCCTCGTCGGGCCTCTTGGGGGTATTTCGGAAGCTAGCTGGAATCATTCTCGGCTACCATGACCAGCCTTGATGGCTATCTTGGACGTCGCGAGCCCCCAAACAAACCCCAGGGATGGGGGGGGGAGGTACACCTCACCGAAGGGAGAACTTGTTTTTGGGTGAGTAAAGAAGAACATGCTTAGACCATCTTCGCCTAACGGGCTGGTGTGGGAGTTCTAATGGGAAAGGGGTGGAGGAGGAGGAGGAGGAGGAGTAGGAGAACGAGGTGGAGGATGAGAAGGAGGAGGAGGAGAAGAAGGTGGAGGAGGAGGAAGAGGAGCGGCATGGGGGAGGGCGGGTCGGAGGGAGGGAGTCGGGAGGGAGGGGTGTAGAGAAAGGGCGACGAATGAATGAATGGATGGGGTGATGGAGAGGAGGGATGGGAGGAGGGAGGGAGGGAGGGAGGGAGGGAGGGAGGGAGGCGAGGGAGGAAGGGAGGGATGGAGAGATGCGAGCGAGGGAGGGAGGGAGGATGAGGAAGAGGAAGAGGAAGAGGAAGAGGAATAGGAAGAGGAATCTGATGATGATGATGATGATGATGATGATGATGATGAGGATGATGATGATGCTGATGATGATGATGATGATGATAATAATGATGATGATGCTGATGCTGATGCTGATGCTGATGCTGATGCTGATGCTGATGCTGATGCTGCTGCCGATGATGATGATGATGCTGATGTTGATGCTGATGCTGATGATGATGATGATGATGATGATGATGATGATGATGATGATGATGATGATGATGATGAGAGGAGGAGGAGGAGGAGAGAGAGGAGGATAGGAGGATGAGGAAGAAGAAGAAGAGAGGAGGAGGAGGAGGAGAGGAGGAGGAGAGAGAGGAGGAGGAGGAAGGAGGAGGAGAGGAGAGGGGAGGGAGGGGAGGGGGAGTGGGAGGAGGAGGAGGGAGGAGGAGGAGGAGAGGAGGAGGAGGAGGAGCGGAGTAGGAGGAGGAGGAGGAGGAAGAGGAGGAGGATAATGATATGGGAGAGGAGGGAGGGAGGACAAGGGAGGATGGGAGGGAGGAGTAGAAGGGGGAAGTGCAGCAGGGGAGAGGGAGTAGAAGAAGGAGGGGATCTCGAGCAGTACGGCACGTGCACGGCACGTGCACGGCACGTACACGGCAGACGGCCGAGGCGTGAATAGTTTAAGAACGGGGGTTTTCCACGTCTCGGCATGCGCTCAGAGGCGTAGCAACTGCTGCAAGGCCGATTACGGCCAGGATTGATATTGTGTCGTCGTCGACAGTCTCTCGCTGCTGCAGTCAATGTTCGAGTTGTTGATCTCTGGCTCAAACTCGAATGTACTATCGAATTGCTTAGTTCGATGTGGAATCAATAGCCAGACCGCGCTTATCGAGCCGCTCCGCTGGCTCATAAACAAGATCCACATTCAGCCTCGACACAGCACACACTCTAAACTTATCCTCTCCTTTCCTCCCTGTCCGTTCCTTGGGGCTCCAATGGAGAGTCAAACTCTATTTTTTCCCTCCCTTCATTTCCCCCTTTGTCCTTTCCTCTGGTCTCTTCTCTTCCGCTTCCCCCTTTCCTCTCCTTTGTCAATTCGGCCGTGTCCCAGGTCCTGATCCCTGGGTGCCGCAGACCCCTGGAGGCTCGCAGAAGGCCTAAAACGTTCAAAATTCTTCCAATGTCAGCCTGCGTTCGCCCCAGCGAGTAGGTTATGGTACAGTGGGTGTGCGCGCTATGTGGTGCCTATGCGGTGATATTCTCTTATTGGTCAGCTCGTGTGCGCTGCAGTCTATGTTTTGCAATGTGTGTGTGTGATCTGCAGATCTCTATGTGGTGCAATCTTGCAGGCTCAATGTGCAATCTGGGTGTTGTGCAGTCAATGTGTTGCAGCGATATGTTTAGTCGCTTCGCTCATTCCGCCGGCCCGTACTATGCCATCGCAGGCGTTTGTCTGCGCGTTCGTGGCCTCTTGGGGCCTCTTGGGGGTCGTTTGGGGGCCTCTGGGGGCCTTTTTTAGGCCTCTTGGGGGCCTCGAGGAGCCTCCAGGGGCCTCCTGCTCTCTTGGGGACCTCTTGGGGCCTCCTGGGGGCATCTTGGGGCGGAAGGCTCGAGTGGGTGGTTCGTGTTTTGGCCACTCTTGGGGGCGATCTTGGGCGCCTCTGGGGCCGTTTTGAGGTCCTCTTGGACCGTCTTGGGGCCCTCTTGTGGGCCTCTCGGGCCTTGTAGGGGCGGTCTTGGGGGCCTCTGGGGTCATCTTGAAGCGTCCGAAAAACACGAGAACGCGAAAAACATAAAAACACACAAGAACAATTTGTTAATTTCTATTCTCGTGGCCCTCTTTGAGGTCCTTTTGGAGCGCCCTCAGGGCTTCTTTGGGCCATCTTGGGCGTCTTGGAGCGCTCTTGGGCTGTGATTCCGATCCCTGGGCCCTTTTGGAGCTGCCTTGAGGTTCCTTGGGCCGCTCCTGGGGCGATCTGAAGGGCCCCGACAACCGGCCCCTGGAGCAAACCATCTCTGACCCGAGTCTGACAGGACCTTGCTGGGGGTTCTGGGGGGTACTTTTCGTCCAGGGACACCCAGGGGCGGCCCCGTGCGCGCGAACTAGAGTATACACGTCCAGTTACTGGAGATCTTAGCACGCCTCTGGCCCGTTGGGCCAGCGACCGTTGGGCCTGCGAGTTCAGTGTAATCCTTATGGTACGGTCTGTTTGTGATGCAAGAATCTCAGTGGCATATGCTACTGGATGCAACCAATGTATGTGGTGCAGCCGAGGTCCTTCAGCTTCTGCGGCTCGAGCTGTGTGGTGCAAAAATGTGCATGGTGCCACTTAGGTGGTGCAATCTGTGTAGTGCACTCAGTGCGGTGCAACCCTTCCCAGACCCCCGACGTCATGATCTTTTCATGACGTCGACCCCCAGAGGTCTGGACCCATTCCCGGGGACCGGCTTTTTTCATCCTGAGTCGTTTTTTGACGGCCCCGAGGCCCGGTAGGGGCGGGCCCCCAGAGGCCGAAAATAGCGAAAACCCTCCCGTCATGATTTCTGTTCATGGCTCGAGGGGGGTCTGGGTTTGTAGCTGCCCGCGAGGCGCCCATGGGTGCCCACTGGCCGAGAGCACGGAGCCGCCAGCCAGCGCACGTGGGCACCCACAAGACGCCCACAGGGGGCGGCCACCGACCGAGAGCCCGGCACCGCCAGCCAGCGCACGTGGGCGCGCCGCCTTTTTCGTCCGTCGCGCGGCCACTGGCTGAAGATCCCGGCAGCGGCTCCATTCCGCACGCGTGGGCGCCCACGCGGCGCCCGCGTGTGCTGGATGGGTCAGAGAGATAGTCTGGAGACGACTTTCTATGATTTGCGATTTTTTCTAAATGTACTTTTTGTTATATTAAATATATATTACTTTCGTCCAACATCTGCCTGTAGGAGGACATGCCCGACCCAAGGCTAGCTGAAGACCCCGGCAGCGGCTCGATCCAGCACGCGTGGGCGCCCACGAGGCGCCCACGGGCGCCCACCCAGCCGACAACCCCGCGGCGCCAGCCGATCGCACGGCTGGGGGAAATGCTTCCGATCCTTCATCTTGAGGGTCCAGGGCAACACTTAGCTCAGCGAGCGAAGAACGGTATAAGATAAACTTTTTCGCCGTCGGGGACACCTGCCCCTGGGCGGCTGGAAAGTCTATACCCCTGCGGTGCCACCGTGAGGGTATAAACTTTCCAGCCGCCCTGGGGCAGGTGTCCCCGACGGCGAGAAAGTTTATTTCCCAACCCTCCTGCGTTGGGTTCTCGTTTTGAATAGAGCACCGCTCGCGCGAACCTTCCTTCCTTCCCGTCCCTCTCTTCCCCCCTGACCTCGCCATCCCTGGGGGGCTGCGATCTGTGAAACTGTCGCCACTTTCGAGGCCTGCTGGGGGGCCCAGCACAGTGTACCCACCGCGGACTCAAATTAGACCTCGCCATCCCTGGGGGGCTGCGATCTGTGAAACTGTCGCCACTTTCGAGGCCTGCTGGGGGGCCCAGCACAGTGGGTACCCACCGCGGACTCAAATTAGACCTCGCCATCCCTGGGGGGCTGCGATCTGTGAAACTGTCGCCACTTTCGAGGCCTGCTGGGGGGCCCAGCACAGTGGGTACTCACGCGGACTCAAATTAGACCTCGCCATCCCTGGGGGGCTGCGATCTGTGAAACTGTCGCCACTTTCGAGGCCTGCTGGGGGCCCAGCACAGTACTCAAATTAGACCTCGCCATCCCTGGGGGGCTGCGATCTGTGAAACTGTCGCCACTTTCGAGGGCTGCTGATGGGGCACAGCACAGTGGGTACCCACCGCAGACTCAAATTAGACGCCGCTTTCGTCCTTGTTCTCCTCCTGCAGTCACCTTCCCTCTGCTGCTGCCGTGCTGATGGTTCGGCTTCCCGCACGTTTTTCTCCTGCTCTGCGTTCCCGACTCCCCATGTCCTCTTCGAGCCTGTAGCTGTCGCCCCTCGTTCTTGTATGGTTCTCCTGCGCATCATGCCATATGCGCGTGTCCCAAGTAGCTTACACATCAAGTTGATTGTCCATGCAAGTTTCGGCCAACTCCTCGTTTCCATTGATACAAATGGGTTGGGTACGTCACAGAGTAATTTATACCGTTCTTCGCTCGTTAATTAGCACCCTTCTGCCTTTCCTTCTCTTTTCAATTGACGCGATCGCGGTCACCGGTCTCTGGCAGTGCTCCCCCTTCGTGCCCTGAGATCCAGCGTCGTACGACAAAAGTTCAAGGTCGTTGAGCAATCGCGACCAGAACGCTCGACCCTGTCTTTTTTTCCACGGCATTTCTCGAGCCTGATCCGTCCGTTTGGTCCTGGTCGCCCGAGCTTCTCGGCCGGTGCGACGAGGACCATCGTGATTTATGCACGACGCCTGGATCTGGGGGTAATCGGCCAGGGATTGTACGACACCCTCTGCGGGAACGACGTGTCCAAGGCCGTCGCCCAGAGGAGGGGGTCTTCGGGTGCCGCGCGCGCCTTTCCTCCGCCTAGAAGGGAGAAGGATGAGCGAATAGAGGTGCACTTTCCTTTCCCGCCGCCCCCCCCAGCTATCCCCTTCTCCCCCGCTCCTCCTCTTCTGAGCCTTCGGAGGTCTCTCTCGTCGGAACGGCTGGGTCCTCTCCGAAATCTTGTTCAGAGCGCATTCTGGGAGAGGTCTGGTGGGCCATGTTCGGAAGGCGGAGGAGGAGGAGCAGCAGCAGCAGGAGGAGGAGGAGGAGGAGGTGGAGGAGGTGGTGGAAGAAGAGGGAGGAGGAGGAGGAGGAGGAGGAGGAGGAGGAGGAGGAGGAGGAGGAGGAGGAGGAGGAGGAGGAGCAGGAGGACGGCGGAGGAGAGGAGGAGGAGGGAGGAGGGAGGAGGGAGGAGGAGGAGGAGGAGGCGGAGGAGGAGGCGGAGGGAGGAGGAGGAGGAATAATAATAATAATACTATTAAGAACAATAATATTAATAATACTAATAATAATCGTAATAATATTAATAATAGTAAGACTAGTAATAGTACTAGTAATAATAATATTAAGAATAATAATAATAGTAATAATACTAATAATCATAATGTTAATAATTTTATTATTAATAATAATAATGCGAAGAGTAATAAGAATAAGAATAAGACGAAGAAGACGAAGACGAAGACGACGAATACTAATACTAATAATAACAATAAGAACACGAACAATAATGACAATCAACAGAATATTAATAATAGTAATAAGGAGAAGAAGAGGAGGAGGAAGAAGAGGAGGAGGAGGAGGAAAAGGAGGAGGATGACCAGTGTAAACCCAAACGATGTTGGAATACACCCTCCGTCCAAGCTCCCTCAACATGGGCGCCGACAGCGGTTCTTTTCCACTGGGAACTGCCTCGTTGGAAGACAACCGTTTGTAGATCTCGGGAGTCTAACGCTTCGGATCAACCTGACTGCTGCGTCTTGACGATCCTGAATCGTGCCAGAACGCCATTCCTGGG